TCTTGCTTCTTGAATGTTTTGGTAATGAAGTATTTAATGTTTTTTCTTGCATCAGAATCGTTGCTTGATGCCTCTAGTATATTTTTCTCTGCAGCTAGTAATGATTTGCTTGAGGTTTCTGCATTGAGTATTAATTCAAGAGCATCACTGTGAGCTCCAACTAACACCTCAAATCCGATGTTTTGTCTTAAAAGTTCATTAAACAATCCAGCCTGGGCAACTTTTCCATCCTTCATTACCTGTTATATTAATTAATTGCAATTGCTATTAGCTGGTATTTGTCATGCTAATTGTTCATAATGAGTACAATTAATTGAGGAGGAGCATAAGTATCATAGTTTTTTAGGGACACCAACCTTCCATTAATGAGACAGGCACTTCTTGTTGATAATTAATATTATGTTCATATGTTTTGTTTTTGTTAAAATGAATGACAAAAGTATTATTGTTCTTTCAGCATAATCATTTAAGGAAAAAGAAGTTCAGCAGTTCCGTTTTACCAGGATAAGGTCTGCTACTGGAAGAAATTCGACTTGATGGGTAACATAAAGCACAGTTTTGTCTCTGAGGACACCCATCAAACAATCCTGCAGAGGAAGGACAAATCTTTTAAACAACATGCAAAGAGTTTTACATACTGGAAAGATTGTAAGTGAAAATTTACTAGGTATCTTGAACATTTGGTCTTCAGATTCATTGGAAGAACATACACTTGAAGACATTGGATAAAAACCAGGAGATTCAGATATAACACATACTATATGGCTTTCTTTATCAATCTTTGTCTTTTACTATGTTATAGGTGAGAGAGCAGAGGGAGGGTATCATTTGTTTAAAGGATATTTTTAGAAGACAACCTTGAACAGTTGAGTGCCTGTATGAGCATCCAAAGCACTGAAAGGGTCATCAAGAAGGTATATATCAGCATCCTGATAGACTGCTCTAGCTAGCTGGATCCTTTGCTTCTGTCCTCCGCTCATATTAATACCTCTCTCTCCAATCTGTGTCAGGTCCCCATTAGCAAAGAGTTCAAAATCCTTCTTCAATGCACAAACTTCAATTATATTTTCGTACTTTTCATTGTCAAAAGGAATACCGAAGACAATGTTTTCTCTGACATTTCCTGATAGTATCCATGGAGATTGTGAAACATATGCCTTGCTGCCACTGACTTTTACACTCCCTCCAAGCTTTGGTATTTCTCCAAGGATGCATGAGAGTAAACTAGACTTTCCCGAACCAACAGTACCACAAATAGCCACCTTCATTCCTCTACGCACCTTCAAATGTATATTTTCAAGTGTCGGGCATACAGAGTCTTGGTTCCAGCTAAATGTCCCACGATCAATCTCAACATCAACCTCTGCTTCATTTCTGGGGACAATTTCAACCACGTCGGCTCTCATTTCGTCTTCTAGCAGGTACTTTGCTATTCTGTCACCTGAAACTTTTCCTTGTGCAAGTACTGAAAGCATATTGGGGAGAGTAAATATTGGTTCTTGCAGCATTCCGAATGTTGCCAATGCAGACAAAACTCTTCCTGCAGTTAGAGGGATTCCTATGATTATACATGTTCCGAAAGTCACCACTGATATGAACATCGGTGCTCCCCAGGATATAAAAGATGAAATTGCTTTCAGTCTTAGAGACATCCACAGCCAATTGTGCTCAGTGTTTCTCAGGCCTTCTAACTTGTGAAGGTATGGCAGATCCCAGGCTTGAAGTTTTAAGATTTTCATGTTTCGCAGGACTTCTGCAGTTGCTTTCATTCGTGCATCTTTAGCTTCCATGATTCTGCTCTGATATCTTTTTTGTGCTCTAGTTAAGGGAATATTGCATACCATTATCATTGTTGTTGCTGCAAATGCAGCCAAAGCTCCAACTCCAAGATTTTTATGAAGAACATATATTGCTAGTGCAAGCTGGACAGGAAGCATCCAAATGATGTTTGAAAACCACATCAGGTCAGTAATCCTTTGGATATCCACACTCATGTAGTTGATAATCTCCCCACTTGTTAGGCTCTGCCGAGACTGGCTTGATAAAACGATGCCCTTTTTGTATATATGGGATATTAGAACAGCTCTTAAGCGCATTACAAGCTGTAGGGCTCCAAACATCCATTGTCTGTGACACATGGTCTCTACAACTTTGGCACCAAGAAATGCTAGTGCAAGTATGTAGCCACTATTCAATCCATGCTGCTTGTCTCCTCCTAAGAGCCTAACGAAGTTGTCAATCAGTGAAGGTCCAACATAAGAGGCCCCTGCAGCTGCAACTGCAAAGCTTGCATTGACTGCTGCCTTCTTCCAGATGAACAAGAAGATTGCTCTGTAGATAGTTGAAGTTCTTGAGCCATATCTTTCTTTGACGTTATTTAGCCAACAGTTGAATGAGTGAGACAAGAACTCAGCACAGTCATTTTTATCAATATCTGGTACTTCATTCTGCTCTAGAGGTTTCCTCTTTCCAGTAGCGAGAAGTGGGTTAAGCCATGAGAAGGTCACAAGTTGTACAAGACTTGCGCTCCCGTACAAGGAGCTCCTCTTGTCCTCAGCATGCGTCTCCTTTGATGTTTGCACTTGCAACAATGGTTCTTTCAAGCTATTTGAGTCAACTGATGTGCAAGGAAAGAGACTTGTTACGTATGTATGTTGTTCTAGTCCTAAGAATGACTTTGCTAGAAGAATGGAGTGTATGTATATCAAGAACAGCACAAATAGATGACTACAAAAGCTGCATATGAAGGTTTGGGCAATGTGTTGAATCTATAAGGTACTCAGTGGGACATCAACAGGAAGGTGTCGAATTATCCGTGTATCCATTTGTATTTTGTCATGCAGAGGGAGTTTAGACATAATGTCATATTCATATGGGCAATCCAATCAAATTATTTGTCATTAACATTATTGTATGCCTAATGATCAGATTCAGCGCATCATTATTGACGAATGTTGCATTGGTCAGATTCAACGTATCATTGAATGATCCTTAATGGTTGGTTTTGGTAGCATTTTCGTTAAAAAAAATTCCATAATTAGATTTGATTGTATCGTCATTGAATGATGTTTAATTGTTGGATATTACCCATTGTCTTTGGGGGTATTTGATGATAAGATTTGATTATATCATTTGTTTAATGATCGAATTTAATTATATCATTGTGTGTAAATTCAATCATATCGTCATTCAATGATATTTAATAGTCAAATTCGACTGCATCATCATCAAAGAATATTTTATAATCAAATTCAATTACATCAGTATCAATTATGTTTGATGTTCATATTTTTCATATCATTATTAAAGAATATTTCATGTTTGAATTTTTTAATGATCATATTTCATCGCAATATCATTGAGGGATGCTTCATGTAAATGCCTTATTATCGTTATGCGGCTTATTCATTCAATTGGTCTGATTTTAGCTCAAAACTTAATTGCACTAAGAGGGAGAGTAAATTGGTGCTATAATAAATTTAATTAATTTTAAAATTTAATAGAGAAAAATATATTTTCGAACAATCAAATATAGAGTATAAGAAAAGGTTGCGAGTAAAGTGGATGATAATAAGTAAGCAATCATGAAAAAAATTCATAAACAAGAGAATGAATGTAAACTGATTTATAATGGTTTGATCTTCCTTGACCTATGTCTACTCGATTCCTCTATCCTCGAGATCATTAGTTTTCACTATCAATCTTGCTTCTAATATGTGAAGATTAACAACTCTTTATAATATTTCTCATTTTTTTAAGCTTACAAGATATCCTTACATTTATTATTTTTATAAATTTATCTTTTTCTAGGCTTAACGAGAGAACCTTTAACACTTACTCTTTTACAATAAATCTCTTTATCTCTAACACTTAGTATCACAACTACATTCAAGAGAGAGGAAAAACTCAAATAATACTAAAAAAGATAGCTACAATATTTTATAACTTAAAAAATGGATGCTCTATCAACCAAGCCCATGTATGATATTTATATATCTCAAAATGCTTTAAAAATAGAGTCAAAATATTAAATTCTTAAAAGTCATAAATATGCTCCGATGGTCCTATCACCATAAAATTTAAATTCTAAACAGTACCACATCCTAAGCGGTACTATCATCACGATAGGTAGTAACATAGTCTAAAAGGTTGATAAAATATAAATAATACTTGTCGGTTAATCCAAGCGGTACTATTATTTAAGCTTGGTAGTACCACCAGCTTAGACTAGTTTAGACCACTTATTTGGCCTTTTGACGGGTCTAGTTCAACCTAACTTTATACTAATAACTTTTATGATAAGTTAACTTTATTTCAACCTAATATCGGTTCAAATTAATATAAAATGACATGCCTTGACAAGTCAACCACTCATATGATACATCTTTGAAGTATGTGACATGTTGTCCATTCTTCTGATATGTTTGAACTTCCGACATATCATTCTATCCTATCCTCAAACATATTGGTTTCACCACGACAACAGATCTTCCAATAAAATATTTAATCCTTTTGACACGATGTTCAAGCTTTTAGTAGAAGTCCATTCTTCGACATGTCTATCAATTCTTCAACTCGACATTCAATTTTTGACACCATGTCCGACATAATATTTGACTATTCAATATTTGATTGTTTGGTGGTATGAGTCGAAGCATTTTCAATATCACTTAAAATTATATTAATTTATTAAGTTTATTAATTGATTTCATCGAGATTCAACGTACTCTAGCGATCGATCATCAATGGCCTAACATCATCATGCAAACGAAGGGTGCACTAATAGATCTCAAGGGTCAGTCGCTCCCTATAAAAGGGTGCCGTCATCCGAGCTTTATTTTAGACCCTTTGGATTTTATGGTTTAGAATTATCAACTCTTAAACCCCCTCATAAAAGGTTTGAAATGTCATTTTTGTCTTCCACCTTCTTCTATTCTTCTTGTTTGGGTTTGAGCTGGGAGACTCCATCTCATCTTTCCCTCGGTCTCTATCAATCAATCCCTCCTCCTCTTTTAATGGTGTTCAAGTTGCTACCACTGTTACAGAGGTAGCACTTGTATTATTCTTGACTGATGATCCAAGGGTAATGGGTCTAACAAACACTATCATCGACTTCTTTGATTAATCTCATCAAGAAATCTAACAGATTTGTTTTGCTCTTATCAAACTACCAAAATAGAAGTCATAGATTTCTTCGAGAGCTTAGGATCTAAAATCATCTGCTTTGAAGGTCGGTGTCGTTGAGCGGTGAAGACGACTGAGATATTGGATGCATAAGGTTCTTAGTGGGACGTGAGTGTAAGAACATGATGCAAACAGACATTTCGATCTTACTTGGTACGTGAATCACGTCTTCTTCACGAGACATTCTCCTCTTCATCCTCGAGCCGGCTCTCGGTGTCCCCTTGCTGAGAGTCGATGAGAAGGAAACGGGTCCAAAGAGAAGTGAAAGAGATGCTCGCTGCCATTATTTATGCTCGATGAGTGTGGGGGGTGCAATGGCGATGTGTTCTTTCGTCACGTAGAGGACGTGTGGGATGACGAACTCTTGCACCAAATAAATGGTTGGGGTTGGTAAAGCTTGTACGTCTGACGATGCCATGTTTTCTTCTTTTGGTCGAGGAGATGACGAACTCTTCATCCCATTCCCTGTTCTGAACGAAAGCAGAGTTGAGATTACAGGGGAATAAGAATTCCTGATCATTTTGTTCTTTTTGGAGAGATGAGATGATTGGCTCTTTGCAGGAGAGTGGAGATCCACCGAGCTATAAAAAAAGACTCTGAAAGTAAGCAAGCTTAAGGTATGGTTGGTCGGTGAAGACCGCCACCTTCGTGCTCTCGCCCATGGCGTTGAGCTTAGAAAAAGACTGGAGTTGCGTGGAGAGCAAGAAGGTGATGCTGAAAACCGACAGACTCTGCTGCTTCTTTGAAAGGGTGTTTCGCTTGCTGAGGATACGGACAGGTGCAGAAGGCTGCAATTGGTGTTCGGTGAGTAGTAAAGAATCCCTCTTTCGGAGACTGGAATTGGGAAGCGGATGCACACGCTGTGGGTCTGCTTTCTCTTCCATGAACAGTTGGTCTTCACTGATCCTTCGCTTGGATCAGACTTTTCTTCGTTGAACTTTCGGATACTGTGGTCATTGTTATTGCCCCTAAATGTGGAATCTGTAATGCCCTACGTAGGTCGTATGCACACACATACATGTATCTTTAAATGCCTTTTAGAACGAGACAAAGAAGACCTAATTGGAAGCTTCCGACTCGTTTTCTTGGATGCGGGCCCGGTGGTGGTCTTTGGAGACGCTTCTGCTGGCTGCCGCCGGCTCAAAGCAGCTTCCGCCTTCGTGTCGTCGTCACGACGGTGAGCGGACCCGCCATTCCCCGCAGCCACGATTTGTGTGCCGTCGCCTCACCTCGCGGATGGGGACACGGCTTGCTCTGGAAGGAGATGAAGCATGGTTATGGTAAGATTTTGTTCTTTTGCTGGTTTTTCGCATTGATTAGGGCAATGTCGAATGTATTCTTAGTTCACTATTACTGGATGTGCCTTTTCTGATTTGGCGTGGAATAGGTCATGGGTTCGGATCCTTGTCGGGATGCAATTCACTTCCTTTTCGTGTTAATGATTAGTTGATTTGCTTCCTTTTCTTGCGACTGGAGTGTTCAAGAATCGGCTTTTGTTGAATTTTGGAAGGCCATGCAGAGATTTCTTCTTTAGACGGCTAAATCAATTAGGCATTGGGGTAGATGCAATATTTTTCCCGGGTCAGTGGTGTGAGCATTACTCTCTGATCAACAAGCAGTCGGGGCTTCGACTAACTGGTAATTGGTACCCCTTTTCATCTTGAGTTGTTTGGGGTTCAATTATTGTGGAGGTGATGCCCAATTATTTGACCTAAATAATCTTATAGTGCCATCTCTTTTTCTAGAGAACTCAAAATTGAACAGTATAAGACATGGGAATCCAACAAGACGAACTTGAAAGTTGTAAAAGCAAACTTTTAATCTATGTCACAATTACATAGGCAAACATCTATCGGTGGAAAGAAACCTATCTAATACAATCTTTTAGCTTATTAGTGTGAAGCACTATAACTCAAGGAAAGTCATCTAGAACAATTCTCTGTCAAAAATATTCTGCTACAAGTACATTGGTGAAATTTGCAAGTAGTGTTTTGTAAACGGAACTTTGTCAATGTTACCTGATGCAGAACACCTGTCGGCATGGCTTGGTAGAACTTTGGTGACCGGTGAAGAACATTTCTTGCCATGAGATTATCAGTCTTTGCCGGAGAAATCAACTACCTGGCATTGAGTTAGCACAAATTACCCATATCATTCCGTAGGAGACCCAAGGATTGTCTCTACATCAGACATATAAAGATAGGAACATCCAGGACTAAGTTGTGTTACTTGCACTGTGTTGCATTGTTAAAGCTCTGTGATCTCATTGAATACTCCTTTATAAGCTTAGAAAATGATGAATCTTCTCTTTCCAATAACGTGGATGGTTTGTCATATTCAAGTATCTTTCCTGCTCAAGAACAAGAAACTTTGTGAGCTAAATCATGCACAAGTTTTCTGCAAAATATATTTATTTAAATCGATCATAACTTCAATTACCTTCGCTAAGGACCAGAATGAGATCGCTATCTACGACTGTGTGAATCCTGTGAGCTATGGTAAGGATAGTGCAGTCCTTGAATTCCTCACGTAGTGTTTCTTGGATTATTCCATCCGTAGCGGTATCAACTGAGGCTGTTGCTTCGTCCAGAACAAGAATGTTGCTTCGCTTCAACAGCGCTCTTCCTAGACAGAATAGCTGCCTCTGTCCGACACTCCAGTTTTCGCCATTTTCAATAACTGTATGAAGCCCCCCCTTCAATTATTAAACTAGTAATAATAACTGATCATACCATTCAAGTAGTTATGGACCATAAATATGTTGTCATATGCCAAGACCTCCTGCACATGCCTTACCAGTTGAATCCAGCTTCTTGCTGCTTTGGCGTATCAAATCACCGAGCTGACACTTGTCTAGAACCTGAGTGATCATAATGTATCTGTCAATCTTCTGATTAGTATACACTTATATAGGATTTAGATTTTTGTTTCTTAAAGACAGTTACATACAGAGCACGGATGACAAGAAACATCTTCCATTCAGAAACTTAACCATCTGAGTTAAATCTCTCGTTCAACATGAACTGAATGCTAATAGATTTAGATAAACTCAAATTATGCAGGGCAGGATTTATCCTCAACTTGGTCTGCGATATATAGTCAATTAATAGTTTCTAAGTTTGCTTCTAGCAACTCTATTTTTTGAATACTCATATGTTTCTGATTCATCAGACCTTCGCTTAATAATCATGGCCGTAGTTATCTTCTTGGATTCCTATATTATAAAAATTTTGGTTTTAAGAAACAACTTACCTCCCATATCCTGCTATCTGAGTATTCCTCCAATGGATCAAGGTTTCCCCTCACTGTTCCCTCGAACATTATTGGGTCTTGCGGTATGATGCTGAGTCTGTAGCGCAAATCATGGAGGCCTATCTTGCAGATGTCGACATCATCAATTTCAATGGTCCCTTCTCTTGGTTCAACGATACGGAAAAGAGCTTGTATCAAAGTTGATTTGCCACTGCCAGTTCGTCCTACAACACCAACCTTTTTTCTTCCTGGAACTATACATGTTATGTTTTTTAAGACAGATGGCAAATGTTCAGCATATCTGACCTGTACAAACAACAACAACAGGAAGCTTTAAGGCATCAGAAAATAGCATATCTAACCTGTAGAAGTAAGGAAAAAGGAGAACTTGTTAAAGTTGAATACAAAATTCATTTGCATAACATGATCAAGATGTACGTATCTTGGGCCATGAGATCTCCATGACCAAAATTCCCAAGAGAAGCAATGCTTGTTCTTAAAGGAAAAAAATTCAAACTTTTATCTATTTGACCAATCTAATATGACTATGAAAAGGGTAAAAATTCACCTAATATTTGCAACAGCGTTGCTCTCTGGCAAACAGATGAAACTGTGATCTAAGCAAAAATGCAGATGAGATTGTGGTCTCTATTATCTTATAGAAATGACCTAACGCTTCAGATCTGGACACAATATCCTTGTTTGTGCAGATCAAACTAGTTGAATCTTCAGTGTTGGTACTGCCTAGCTAGGAAAGGAAATTATGGCTATTAGAAGAACCTAGCAAAGTCAATCAGTTCTGCTAAAGAAATCAAGAATAAAATACAGACTTGAATTGAGCTCCGTGGAGCTAAGCATCTGTCTAAAAGAACTGCAAATGGAGCAAGTCTTGACACAGTGGGTCTAATGATTGTACTCATACATCACCCATGGTGACTTGGGCAAAGATAGGACTGCTCAACTGGCTTTCATCCATCTGATAGTTTATACTTGTTGAGACTTGAGAGTCTAAGAAGTCAAATCATATGTAAGCCCACTAAGCCTTACAGGAAATTCCCATTTTGTTGTGTCATGGAAATTATATCATAATTTGTAAAATTTCTACTTTAAGAAAGTTGCAATGTTTCGGAATATAAGTTTACAATTTATTTGAAGATAACTTCAACTGTTAACCAGTATTATGAAATTATGAAATGAATAATTTGCATCAACAGTACTCAGAAAAAAGATGTCCCGTCACACCTCCCACAGTAGCAAGAACAAAAGAAGGCTGACTGGACATTGAGTGAAACCAACTGTTAGCATGTTCTATGCATACTATTTGACTTTTTGTTATATGAAATCTATCGTTTCAAATGGAAAAAAACCTGCCAATTAGTATGGTTGTCTTTAAGTATGACTCTTGATTATGCATAAACATGCATGTGATGTTGGAGTTTGAGTTCTAAGTTATACCTCTAAGTTCCTGAAGCATATAGTTCCAAAATGTGGCCAATTGGTTGGTGGTCGGCAGCCTTCTATGAGTATAGGAGCTTCACCCGGAATCCTTGAGTACTGCATAATTCTCTCAACTGAGATCATTTTATTTTGTGCATTGCATATATTCCAGATGATAGTTGCTAGCTGTGAATTGAGATTTAATCCATATGTCACAACAAGTCCTGCAATGCCTGTACAACATACACATGAAATTTCATTTAGATTAACAGACTTATATGAAAGGTATTATCAAGTAAAATTTAGGTAAATGAATATTTCACTTGAATATGCTCACTTGGATTAAGAAATCCTTCTGGCAGGTTCACAAGCACAATCAATGAGAAAGCAAACACAAAGTTGGATAACAAATTCAATCTGAATGAGAGCCATTCCACTGCAGAAATATTATGGAACCATGGCCTTGAGTGATTATCTATGAGACTGAGGTTTGTATTGCTGAAACGGTCTTTCTGCCCAAATGCTCGAATAGTTACAGCACCAGAGAGTGATTCTCCAAAATGATGAAGGATCGGAGCTTTCTGGATTTCTGACAACCGAGCCAACTCTCTTGCAGTGGGTATGTAGTATTGCTGCATTAGTCATTGTCAAAAATTCAGTCTTCAAATTGTCAAAATGATTTAATCATTCATTAAACTGAAAATCTAACTAAATCATGGCCAAAGTTGAGTATATTTCCGTAGGTAAATCCTCTTATGTATTATCATCCATCCTAGCACACAACTAAATCATGGGAACTACAGTTTGAGGAAAAAGAAAAAGAAAACAGTCAAATTGTTTCTCTCAATATTCAAGAATATCTATGTTGACATTCTTTGATATCAACAAAAAATCTTAAATATTTTTCTGAGTATATTTTTGAATGAGAGTGTTCTTACTTGATACCATATACAGATTGCTGTCACTGGAATGAATATTGCGAAAACTGGCCAAGCAACCTGCGACATGACTGCAATAGTCCCCAGAATCTGTATAATTGAGAATGCACACCAACCTAATTTCCCAGCTAATTCTAAGTCAAGCACACTTTGATCCATAGAAGCCTACAAATAATTCATAATAAGAAACTATTAGTCTTAAGCACAAAACTATATAACTATTTACAATTCAGGAATTACAAGAATAAGAAATTTAACTACATAAATGAGAGATTAAACTAAGTACTGACCCTGTTTAAAATCCTCCCAGATGGCGTTGAGTCAAAGAAGGACATTGGGGCACGAACGATAGAGTGGAGCATCTTTTGGAAAAAAATTTGAGATGTCAAAAGGCCCGTTTTTACAAGCAGAGTTGCTCGGATCAACACACACAGTGAACATCCAACTGAAAGAAGTATATACACTAAGAAGAGAAACTTGAGTCCCACTGTAGACTCTGTAGTTGTAGATGGAGGAGAAGCCCATGCCATCCAATAGTTGCTTGCTACTTGCAGTACCTGGAAAAATACTTGTGCTATGACTATTATGGGAACCAAGGCACCTCCTCGTACTGCAGTCAGGTATGACCAATAAACATCTTTCGAAATGCTTCCTTTCTCTCTCTCCTCTTCTTGTGTTAGCCTCCCTCTATCAGCCATATCTTGACAAATATCATGTTCAGACTCTTGCTTATTGATGTTTTGGAATGAAGTATTTAATGTTTTTTCTGCATCAGAATCGTTGCTTGATGCCTCTAGTATATTTTTCTCTGCAGCTAGTAATGATTTGCTTGAGGTTTCTGCATTGAGTATC